AAGCTGAAGTCCCGCTAGTCCAGTTCTCCAAGACCTCGAAAATGTCATCTTGAGCAGCTTCGTCATCAAAGAAGCTTATGAGGTCTATGTCATCAGGAGGAATCGAAGCTAGCAGAGTGTCGGAAGGAACAGCATCAGTAGAACTCGCAGGTTGACCGGAAGGAGGAGTTTGTTTGTCCTCAGAAGTTACCTCTAGAGCTGCACGAAAATGATATTTCAGTGAGACAAAATATTCTTTGGTGGAATACCATGATGTCCAAGAATTACCTACCTTGTCCAAAGGACACCCCCGGGTCGAAATTGAAGGAAGGTGCGTCACCTTGCACAGGACCAGGAGGAGAAAGTTCAATAGTGGGCACGGTGACAGGAATAGTGGTCGTAAGAACATTGGAAGAAACCACCTGTTATTAAAAAGTATTGTAACAATGCACCAGTTCGAGGGCGGTCAGAAAAGTAAAATCAAAATTCAACAGAACATACCTCAGGACGTTCAGGAAGAGACGTTGATTCGCGTATTCCGATAACATCGCGAGAAGATGGAGCAGCGGTAGGAGAAGTAGAGCATATCCCAGGAAAGCGGAATCAGTGCTGCCAAATTGATTGTAGAAGGAACGAAAAGGAGAAATTTGGAATTAAAGATGTCAGGGGCATTTAATTCTCGCGAGGAGCACGTAGCTCTAGGGTCTTATCAGAGAAAGAAAATTAAGGTATTGGAAAACATTCTTTCTCGATTACCTCGAAACAAATGTTTTCCAGGGGGCATTTGTTAGTACCAAAAAATGAATTCGGAGACACTCGAAATACAGGGGCGCTCGAAATCTTAGTTGATCAAAAAATGGAAAAATAAGTTTCTGAAGAAGACATACAAAGCCTGAAGAGAATCAAGAGACACACGAAGACACTTTCCGTAAAGCTCTTGAAATCATGGAACCAGGAAGGATGCTGCTCGGGAGAAAGGCTCACAGCCCCGCAACCTCTCAAAGTACAAGCAAAGTCAGGGAACATTCAAGTATAGTTTTCGTTGGTTACTCGAAATCCCAAGAATCCGGACATACACGAATACACTTCGTAACTTCTCAGAATGAAGAACTTAAAGGAGACACGATTTGAGAGAGGTCGAAGTAACATGGGATACGTATCAAAGGCTGCAGAACGGTTTGGGGAAGTTAATGAACAGTTCCATGAATTATCCAAAGACGTGCCCGGGAGTAAGCCACGATGTGGAAGTTTAGAACGGTTATGCACTTCCGGGGCACGTCAGAAACAGTTACCTTTCTTAATCTTTGTCTATAAATTAAACGAGCCATGCTCATAGCAAGGAGTCAGAAATCTAATTCCCACAATTCTCACACGCACTCCTCGCCGGCGCACAAGGCACAACGTGCATACGAGACAGCTTTGGGTACGATTTCTCGACCACTTTTCTTTTCCTTTTTTAGGAGTAGCGTAGCATAGCGTAGCATAGCATAATCTAGTCTAGTGTAGTGTAGTCACTCTGAACATGTTTCGTTATCCTCACGAATTATAATTCTGTTACCGTTTAATGAAGGATATGATTTCTGCAGTCAATACACATGTCATCTGTTCGATTCACGTTAATTATTATATGCATGAAATTGATTGTACAATTAGCATAGATCTTCTGATGTGCTGAAACAAGCATAGATCTTCTGAAGTGCTAAAACTGGCATAGATCTTCTGACGTGCTCGAAATAGTGTGCATAGATCTTCTGATGTATCAAACCATCATAGATCTTCTGAAGTGCTCGAAACAATGAGCATAGATCTTCTGACATGCTGAAACAACACCCTAAATTAACTCTATTCGCTGCTTGTGCGATTTTATTTTCTTTCACGAAAAGTCTTCGATTCTCTCATGTCACGAACACCACAAATTAAAACGTGAACTCGTGCTAGTTCGAACAAAAAGAACCTACGAACGAAATCTCCCACAAACAGTATCTGAATCTCGATTTAATATGTGCCTAATTTCGCTAATTCTTGTTTGTTGTATTTTTGATAAATATAATCTTTAGTATACATGAGATAAGGAAAATTAACTAACACAATAGGAAAAATTTACAAAAATTAGCAGACACACGAGATGGTAGTATCGATGCAATATGATTTCGTGATCGGAAAATAATGACAAGGGAATGCTTTAGTTGTCATTTTGATACAAGTATAATTAATCTATTTTTATCATTTTCTGCCTATTTCCTTGAATATATGCTATTACTTTGAATAACCAATTTTAAGCCTAAAAATTCCTTGTTTTTGTCTCTTGTAGTTTATCACAATCAACATATTTGTCACTTCTATATAGAAGAAAATAGCAAAAAGTTCAAACTTGGATCCACTCAAAGCAAAAGCATGAATTTCCAATTAAAGATTAAGATCCTGGAATTGACACTATAACAGATAGATATTTCCAAAAAGAAAAACACATTACTGAAAAGTGAATAGTGACAACCTTTGGACCTCCAATTCAGCTAATTGTGTGCATCAAAATCCAAACTTTTTTAACTAGAATGAAAAACCGACACGGGACAAGCTAGTACCACAAGGTCACACAATGACATCCTTATCGCTATTGTAACTAACAACGCCACAAATTTGCAAGATTACTTCACAGTAGTTGCTTGATTTGTTGAGACGGATCTAAGTGTAGCATTAGGTTTGCGTTTTAAACGGCACAACACAGTGCATCGATTTGTGAAATCGAAAGTAAATTGAGAGAGAGAGAGAGAAAGAGAGAATGGGACTTGAGAAGAAAGAGGGTCGTTGGAGGAGAGCTCGTGGCGGACGAGATCACCGGTGGCGATGTGAGGGACGCCTAGGAAGTTGTAGAGGCGGCTGGCGTAAGTGCCTTTTCCGACGTCGGGGAAGCCAAGGAACACCCACTACACGTTCCTCTCCTTAAGCGGTGGCGTCCGAGATGAGAAACTACGCACTGTAGAGGAGACACGCTTTATGAGGTAGGTTATGGCCGCCATTGGAAACGCAAAGAAAGGGTGGCGGTGGCGGTGGCGGTGGGGTGAGGATAGAGGAAGCATAGAAGCTTAGTAGTTAGGTGGCAGAATGAACGAAAGTGAAGCGGAAGAAGGCTCACTTAAGTTCTCCTCCAAATTTAGAATCAACTTTCATGATGGTTATGAAGGAGTTGATCTTAAAAGTTATTCAAGTAAATAAATAATTTTTAAAATCAGTCACATTTTAATTAATTTTTAAAATATTTTTAAAATCAGTTAAAATATAATTAATCTTAAAAATTATAACCTTATTTATAAGATTGTTATTGTGTTATTTTTAAGATTGAATTCTTTGACGACTGATCCTAAAATTCCAATCTTAAAATTAATGTTTGTATTAGTGGAAATTGAAATAACGAAAATAAAAATCCACCACAAATCCTAATCCCTAGTCGGAAAAAAAAATTGAAAAAAAATTAAAATACTTGTGAAAAGACTAATATTGAAGACACAAACAGATTGGTTAATTTTTGAATGAAAATACATAATATTTGTCTAAATACATACTAGTGAGTGTTAAGCAACCCAACAAGAAAAAAAGAATGGTCGAGAGCAACAGAGAAACTATGGGCGGCAAAACGAGCCAGCCTACCCCGTTTTGGCCCGCCCCGCCAATGGCCCGCCAAAAATGGACCAGGTCAGGTTGACCTGCCAATGAAAAACAGGCTGAAAAATGTTGGCCGCCCCACCTAAGGATGGGTTGGCGGGCCGGTGGGCCAGCCCGTATACCCAAAAAATATTTTGTAAAAAAATGAAAAAAATATATATATTTTGTTTAAATAAAAAAAATGGAAAAAAAAATTATAAAAAAAAGGAATCATTGGAAGCTGTGTGAGAGCTTGTCATGTCTAAATGAAGAGTCAGTAGTTTTTGATTTAGGTTTTGGCTCTTCGGTGGCTGGAAATGGACTCTGTTGGGCCTGATTTTTTTTTTTATATTAAGCCTATTATTTATACTAAAGTCCAATCACTAAATCAGTAAATCACCTATGCGAGTTTGGCGAGTTGGGACGGGCCAGCCCGCTATTTAACCCGCCAGGTTGATGGGCTTGACGGGGCAGACTTGACGAGGTTGAAATGATGAGCCCGGCCGCCAATTTTTGGCGAGCCAACGGAGCGGCTCACGGGCCACGGCCCATTTTGCCATCCCTAAGAGAAACCTTCATTTGTAATTGTAAGCCAATAAAGGTTGCCACTCATGCCAACCCTTTCGAACGAGATACAAGAACCACAAAACTCTATCTTGTCGGTCATGCAAAGCCTTTCGAGCGAAATACAAGAACCACAAGACTCTCTCAAGTCTCAACAGAAGAAAAAGAAAACTAAAGACTACACATATGAAACATAATTGTAATTGTTATAGGTTAATAAAGTTTTTAAAAAGACTTATCTACAATAATGACTAAAAGAGGGAGTTAATAACAAAAACTTATAATTTAAAATTTTACTTGACATAACACACTAAATAAGATGTATATAAATTATTGATCCACGTATGCAAGTTACTAAAACCATCCGAAATGTAATGATATTAGAGAGTCTTTCAAAAATTAAAATCACACCAATTAATAAATACCGAGACAAATTAAAAATGTAACACCACACATATAAACTTTACGATAATAAAAAAAAATGAGTGACAAATTAATTAATATCATTTACATGTTTTAACAGAATTAATCCAATATATATATATATATATATATATATATATATATTCTCCAAATGATTTAATTATTTCTTTGGCTTAACGCACACGTATTTGTATATTTGTGCATGAAGGCAACGGCAATATTCATGTGCAAGGTTTACACGTATTCACTAGTCATGCAAACAAGGCTTCTGGTGCTGCCAAGTCCCAAACATTTTCCACGCAAAAAGACATGAAAACCCCTCAAAAAAACCGAAAAGTGAGGGGCAAAACCGTCAAAGTAGCAGGCTATATAATAACAATTGAAATGTAGTTGATAAGAAAGCAGACATGGATGAAAGTGGTGGCGGTTATCAGGTGCGCGCGGGTGCAGGGGAACGTCGGATGGGGATGAAGGTGATGGTGGCCGTAGATGAGAGCGATGGGAGCTTCTATGCGCTTAAGTGGGCCCTTGATAACCTCTTGACCACGATGGCTACGGTGGGAGATGCCACACCGGATAATGAGGGCATGATGTTTCTTGTTCATGTTGAACCCAAAGTTCATAACTATGTGTACCCTGTTGGACCTGGTGGAGCTGGTTAATATCATTCCCCACTCTCCTCTACATCATATATTTATTTATTTATTTATTTATTTATTTATTTATTTATTTATTTATTACTAGTATATGGTTTAAATAACTTTTGGTTACCTCTAAAATATTTTTTCCTATTATGATCTTTTGAATTATTATTATTCTTCTGTTGTTTTGCATATGATTTTTTTTCCTTTAATTTTAGTTTATGTCTTTACATTAAGTGGTAATTAATAAAGATTAAAAAACATGGCTTAATGTATTTTGAATGCTCCTTAAAAAAGTGTGTTGTATCACTATACACAAGGACGGAGCCAAGGGGGGACCTACGGGTGCCACGGCCCCCCAACAATTTTAATTTTTTTTTATATACATATATATTACTAAATAAGAAATAAAGGTACATACTTGAATAACTTGATCTTGCAATATGTTCGATATATTTATCAAATGTAAATATGAGAAATAATTTTTATTAAATTATGTTAATTATTATCTAGTTTTGTCAGATAATATGCTTTTGATACTTTAATTTTCATTTATTATTAATTATATATTATTTATTCTCGGCCCCCAGTATTGAAATCCTGGCTCCGTCCCTGACTATACATATACAATGTGTTATGTATAACATATGTTATGTATTGTTATACTCTATACAATATGTTTCACTATATATACATAACATATGGTATGTATTGTTATACTCTATACAATATGTTTCACTATATATACATAACATATGGTATGTATTGTTATACTCTATACAATATGTTTCACTATATATACATAACATATGGTATGTATTGTTATACTCTATACAATATGTTTCACTATATATGCATAACATATGTATTGTTATACTCTATACCTTTTAACAATATATATCTACAATATTTTTTAAATTATAGCTCCATCTATTTTTTATTAAATGTATTTTAAGAAAGACTACACATTAGAAAAGGTTATAGTTGATTAAGATTTTTTTGTCCGAATTGATGGAAAAATGTTGGTTAAAATATGAAGTTAATTTTGTTTAATCATTCCCTTTTGTTTGAAATAAGCATTAATTATGGATTTTTATAGAATTGGAAATAATTGATTTTATTAAAATCATATTTAAAAGCTTAGGTAACATAATTAATATATGCAAGAATTAAAAGCTTTTGCGAATATGTTTTGCTTAAATATGATCCTTATATATATCTATCTATACACCCCTTGAACAGCTTTTTATCCTACAACTGTAGTGGTGGATTCTGTGAAGAAAGCACAAGAAGAAAGATCAACAACTATTCTCTCAAGGGCTTTGAAAATGTGCCATGATAAGTTGGTAAAATCTCTTATATATGCATGCACATTAATATTAATTACTATTATTATTCTTATTATTATTATTATTACTATTGTTTTTGTTTTTGTTTTTGTTTTTATTTTTTTTATTTTTATTTTTTTTATTATTGTTACAATAAAATAGAAATGAATGAAAATGCAGGTGAAAGCAGAAAGTATGATTCTTAGTGGAGACCCAAGGGAAATGATATGTGAAGCAGCAGAGCAAATGCAAGTTAGTCTCCTAGTCATGGGTAGCCGTGGCCTTGGTGTACTCAAAAGGTTAATCTTACAAATTAATATATGACATTTTCTGTCTCTAAAGTATATAAACTATTTCCCTTTTCACTCATTCAAGTCTAATTATTTATACATTCACTTTATCATTGTTAAATCATATCAATTAATAATGAGAAAATTAATTGTGAATACCCTTTTTAACATTTGGACAGAAAATGTCATTCACTACGGTTTTATTATTTGGAATGTCATCAACTGTTGTTCTTAATTTTTAATATAATATTGTTGTTCTCTATTTTTAATATAAAATTTTTTTTTATTTATTTAAAAGTGATATTATTTTAATAAAATTGAATGAAAATAATACATTTATTATTGTTTTTAAATTGGGTTTAAATATTTTAAATTAACTTTTATTTTATAACAGAGTATTATTTTTTTTATAAAAAAATTTAAATTAGAATAAAATACGACATTGTATAAAGTCAAAATTAACTACTAATTTATTTAGTAAAAATAAATAGACTTAATCAATTGTTTTACAATTTAATAAGTTGTTTCACTCTTGTGAAATGTATTATATATATATATATGGATTAAAATATGAACTATTTATTTATTTATTTCCAACAATTGATATTACTTATTTTACATTATTTCAATCCAATGATAGATGATTCTGAGTATACATTTGGTGGCAGGACAATTCTTGGAAGTGTGAGCGACTATTGTGCGCATCATGCGAGAGTACCAATCCTTATTGTGAAACCGCCGCAACCAGAGCACAATAAGAAGCATTAATGCCACTTTTTTTCTGTTTTAAGTACTCGCATCTTTTCATCAAGTGCGTATTTATGTATTTTAACGTCTTTTCTAATAAATTAGAATAAGACAAGTGATGCATGGAACAATGATGTAATGTTATAAAAATTATTTGAGAATTTTTTATCAAATATTGTTTTCTTATATTTTTCTCTCTTTTATATTATTTTTAGTTTTTAGATAAAATTATAGATGTTATAAATGTATGTGTATTAAAACTCATCCTTGCTATCAACCGGTGAACAACATTGATGGATTCATTGGGTTCATGTGTTTAGTGAAGAAAATAAGATGTTAATTTATTGGCTAAATGTGATTCTGTAATGCATTCATCTATTCACATTTTGTATGTTCAAAATTTTATTGTAAATGCTCTGTAAGAGCTTTTCTAAAGGCTTCTAAAGCTTAAAAATAATATATAAAAAAAAACTAATAATAGGGACAAGGATGTATGTACGAGAAGGTTGTTCAAACTATGTCGTTAATGTAAATTTTTATAGATAAAAAAATTGATTGTATAAAAATGAATTTAAAAATATTTTTTTAGTATAAAAGATTATAATGATATTAACAAGATTATGCACTAACAATAAATAATTTAACACTATTATTTATTTATAATTTAACTTTAAAAATAAATAATTAAAAATATATATATTAATTGTGAGAATTATGAACATGTTCGACAAGGATTCTGAATAGCGAATAAGTTAATTTGATTAATATAAATTTTTTTGATATAAAAATTTATTTTAAAAGTTTATAATTTATTTTCATAAATTAATTAAAGTATCTTATAGTTTATAAATTCTTAATTTTTTTTCTCTTTCTCTTTTTATTTTTAATAATTTACTTAAAATCTTTTTTTTTATTTTTTTAAATACATAAACCAATTTTCCTAACTACATATTAATGTCTCGCTCTTAATATCTTATCGAATAAATAAATATCACTTTACATTAATCACTAACTTTTTAGTTAATCTTATTAAATACTTTCACTTTAATCAATTAACTTAAAAAAAATTTAACATCTCATTTTCTTGCTTATAACATAAAAATTTCCGATTATCTCTTATCTTAAAACTTATAAGTTTCTAACTAGTTTTACAAAGACACCCTATAACTAGTTGATAATTTTACATTATCAATCGAGTTTAATTTACTGTATAAATAACTGAAATGCAACGTGCAAAGAAAATTTCTAACTTTAAAATTCAAATAATTAATTTGTGAACATGATAGCTATGAATAAAAATAAATAAATATTAAGAATGAAAATCATGTTTAATTCGAGATTGTAAAATTTCTGTATAAAATGTTCGTCAATGGAATTTAGGGTTACATAAATACGTATTCATAAATTGATTGATTTCAACTATAGATAATAAGCATGGCATATTCCTTGCCGACATGTTAAAACAATATTGTCGCCAGTAATATTTTGTCTTGTTAAACAGAGTCAATTATGAACAGTTGACAAATTGCTGTTAAATTATTGTATATTAAGTCAATAAGATGATCATGTTGAAAAGAAAAAAAAAATCCTTGCTGAACCACAAGATTCCACATCGAAATTGCCCTGTGTAGTACATGCTATAATTCACAATAATCTTGAATTGGTTGGGTCAAAGATTTACCACAACTTTCAAATATCAGGAAAGAGAAATTTGATAGGTCCATTGAAACTCATTTCCACGTAATAATCTAATACGACCCAAAACTGTGCCTCTTACTAGAAATTGAGACAAACGGACAATATCTCGGATCAGCAAATTCAAAACCACGCTTGTTGCCAAGAGAATAATATTAATCATACAGAAATTGTGGAATCTTATAATTCAAACTGAATAACTTCAATGCCCTCGGAGTGGCAGACAACATCCAATCACCTCAAAGTCAATCGAATCTGCAACTGCAGCTTCATATACCTACATCATAGACCAGCATCCAACTATCATTTTCAAATTGGAAAATCCAGAAGCGACCATCACTTTAGTGCATGGTTGAATAATTGTTCTGAACATAACATACTTGAGTACTGAAAATACTTTAGGAACAAGATACTCTTTGTATCTATTCATCCAGAAAGTACTTTTAGAACGGGTGCAACGGTTATCCAAACATGCACTTATTCTATAGACATACTTTGCTATGCACATTCCATAGCATATGTGAGAGAGCATGAGATGAAGTTTAGTATGAGAGCAGCTATAGGAAGAAATATATTTCACAATTTACATATATACCTATTTAGAGATATCAAAGGCAAGGCAACCATAGAAAAAGTACCTATTTTTCCAACCCTCCTAGTCTTGTACCAGGGTCATAGTTTAAGAACAGCCTAAACTCGTTTCCAAGTTTGCTGGAGTGCTGAGGCCTAAAACGACAAGGATGCAAGCCCAAGATCTCTGCTGCACTTTCTTTCTGCACATCACCTACATGTAATTGTAATACAACAATTAGAATACCGAACCACGGATACACTTTTATTTCTTAGTAATTCTAGTTTAAACTGATTATCTCGATATTTCATCATATTGAAAATAAATTGTCATTTTGAGAGCAGTGACGCAAACACAACAGGAAAAAATTCATTGTTACCTGTGAGTAGAAGCAAAAATGACTCTCCAGGTTGTATGAGCAGACGAATTGTTTCAGCAACTTTCTCCAAGCACTCTTTGCTCTACTACCAAGGTTAAAAGATCATCAGCCATGTCATTTTTTAAATTGGAAATAATCTATACTACCAGTCTCATACATAGGTCTCGCATTTTACGTCTTTTCTATCTCCCAAATACACTCACTCCTATTGTCCTATTTGAAGATGTTGGAGGCATTTGGAAGAACGTCTAAGTATTGATTATTCAGGTTTAAGAAACTGGATCAAGACTCTAATAAACTCCTTACCTTATTTCAACAGCATTCACGTTAAAATCCATGACATAAGCATCCATATAATAAGAGCTTACTCAAACGCACCAATTATACATTAATCTAACTTGTTTAATTTAGATTAAAAAAAGAAGGAAAAATTGTCTAAAACTAGAATTTTTCTTTACACTTGCATCGTGGGTACCCCTTTCTGGTAACAAATAATAACAAGCAAACAGGTGACTCATTGCTGGAAGCTGTGAGGATACATTACACAAACCGAGATTAAGAAGCCTATGTATACATTGAAAAGATATGTGAAGGTATGTGCCATATAATTCTGTGTAAAGCAAAACAAACTATAATTTTATCAGAAACCTAAAACACTTAACAAAAATATGAACTCTATATAATCATATCACAGTCCTGTCGTTACTTATAATCAGAAGATGTAAAAAAAAGTACTCAAGGGGGGGAGGGAATTGTTATTTAAGAGAAGTCCAACACAATAGATTTATAATAAATATAATCTTAGAAGACTTGGAATCTACACTACTAAAATTAGAACGATAAAAAAAAGTAGTGGAATTACTACACTCCTATATAAATATACGCCCCTTTTATAATCTGCACACTAGATAGCATCTGAGTTTAACTGAATTAAGTTATATAGTTCAAAAAAAATTACAACTAGCACACTAGAGGTGTAAAAATCATTTTTCACGAGAAAAAGACACAATCAATTAACCCTCCACCAGTCGAATTATTTATAGTTTTCTGTGGAGTGCACAAACAATAGGCAGAAATGGAAGTATAAGGTACAGAAGCCCCGAAATTACGTTTTACAGAGTAAATTCCAGCAATTAATTCTCACCAAGTAAGGAGGATCTGCAACCACAACTCTGCAGGAATG